GCGGCGTGGATCTTCGAAGCTAGCATACGCGACAACATCTGCTTTGTGGAACCTTACGACGCACAGCGCTACAAAGATGTCATACATGCCTGTGAACTCGAGCGCGATCTGCAGCTGCTACCGTATGGCGATTCCACGATAGTTGGCGAACGTGGTATTAGTCTGAGTGGCGGTCAGAAGGCGCGTATTAGCTTGGCTCGCGCTGTCTACCGCCAAGCCGATATCTACGTGTTCGACGATCCGCTCTCTGCGGTCGATGCACAGGTAGCTAAACGTCTATTACGTAATTGCTTCCAACAATACCTGAGTACCAAAATACGTTTAATGGTTACACATCGTGTGCATAACCTCAAAGAGGCCGATTGGGTTATACTAATGGAAGCGGGTGTTATCGAAGTGCAAGGCACCTATGAAGTGCTTGAGCAGAAAATCAGCAAGCGCTTAAGCTTAACGCAAGAAAAAGTGGATAACCGTCCGAAGCTATTGCTTGCCGACAGCATGTTGGTTAAGCCGACGGAGGAAAAACATGAGAGCGTCCAATTGCCTAGCGATACGGGATCGGAACGCAAGGAACAACAAATGAAAGGTTCGGTGCGGTTTCACACATATGTGGCGTACTTCCATGCACTCCGCATGCCTTGGCTAATAGTTGTGATATTTATGTTGTTCATCTCAGCGCGGGCTTGCCAAGCCGGCATGGATGTATTCATAGCGAGATGGTGAGTAAGGTGATAATTTTGAAAATATTTCATGTATATTTTTACCCACGATGGAAGGACTCTTAAAACAGTGATATTGACTCTCCTTTTTTATTCACGGGAGCTCTAAATTTGGGATGTATTGAATTAGGCTCAATATCGTCTCAAAAGTACTATATAACGCCCTATAAATTGAGATTTATGTAGCAGAACACAAGATAAGATTATTTTTATGCGATAGGTTCTCAAGAAAACCGTCTTCCTTCCATCAATTAGTTAGCAATTTTGTTGACGCTGACTCAAGAAGCCAGTTTTCAGTCCTCATACTTATACCCAATTAATTATTTAAGATCTTAGTGTTTTTAGCCAAACAATAATTTTACTCTTTTCATCCAACAGGGCCACCTGGGAGGAATCTCAGCCGCAGCTACATGAAACAAATGATGAGTTCACTTCAAAGCGCATGGAAATCGTAATCATCTATTCGATACTAATGTTGGCAACACTTTTGCTATATGTTGTACGCACCTTCGGTTTCTTCTACATTTGTCTGGCGATATCATTACGTCTGCACGATTATCTCTTCAACGGTATTATACGAGCGCGCATGCATTTCTTCAACACAAATGCCTCGGGTCGCATACTCAATCGATTCTCGAGTGATATTAGTAACATTGACATAGCACTGCCGCAAGCCATGCTGGACTCTTACTCGGTGAGCATAATTCAGCTTATTTTGTAAAGTTCGTTATCTTTGACAGTTTCTTTTAGTTTTATACAAACACCATTGCGGTTTTGTCGATCGTGGCCTTCGCCAATTATTGGCTGCTTGTACCAGCGTTCGTAATGATCGCGCTGCTGTTCCTCTGTCGAGCACTCTACATCAACGCAAGTCGCAGTCTCAAACGCATTGAGAGCTTAAGTGAGTCCAAATAAGGACTTGGGTGTGCTTTAAATCTCACATTTTTTCTACTTTACAGCGCGCAGTCCCGTATATTCGCACACAAATCAGACCTTTCAGGGTCTCACTACAATACGCGCACTGAATGCCACCAACAATTTGGATCAGGAGTACCACAACCATCAGAACACCAACACTTCAGCATTATTTCTCTATGTCAGCGTTAATCGCGCTTTTGCCTTTTGGACCGATCTCATTTGCGTGCTTTATATACTTGCGGTTACTTTCAGCTTTTTGGTAATCAATAGCGACTTCTACAGCGGTGACGTCGGTCTCGCGATTACCCAGTCCATGACGTTAATAATCATGTGTCAGTGGGGTATGCGTCAGACTGCCGAAATGGAGAATAATATGACGAGCGTAGAGCGTGTGATCGAGTATGCTGAGCTACCGCCAGAACCCGCTTTGAAGACCGACACTAAAGTCATAGTCTTGCCTGAAACATGGCCGAGCAGTGGTGCAATACAGTTTAAGGATCTTTACTTGCGCTACACGGAACAAAGCGAGCCAGTACTTAAGGGGTTGAGCTTCTCCATCAATTCAATGGAAAAGATCGGTATTGTAGGTCGCACCGGCGCTGGTAAATCCTCCATTATACAAGCCATCTTTCGCTTAGCGCTGAATGAAGGCGCCATAACTATTGATGGTGTTGACATTGGCGTCTTGGGTTTGCACGATTTGCGCAGTCGCGTGTCGATTATACCGCAAGATCCGGTGCTCTTCTCTGGCACACTGCGTTACAATCTCGATCCGCTTGAGGAGAAGGCGGACGCAGAGTTATGGCGCGCTTTGGAAGACGTCAAACTAAAGGATTATGTGTCAACATTGGAGGGTGGCTTAAATTGTCGGCTGCATGATGGTGGTTCGAACTTTAGTATGGGTCAAAGGCAGCTGGTCTGCATGGCAAGAGCCATACTGAGGCATAACAAATTGCTGATCATGGACGAAGCGACAGCCAATGTGGATCCAGAGTAAGTTCACGAGCTTAAAGCAGCTCTTAGCAGTCATACTAATATACTCCCTCAATCTCTTCCAAAGAACTGATATGCTCATACAGGAGACTATTCACACGAATTTTGAACACTGTACGGTTCTAACTATAGCTCATCGCCTTAATACCGTTATGGATAATGATAAAGTGATGGTTATCGATGCCGGTCACCTGGTCGAATTTGGTCATCCATATGATTTATTACGTGATACAAACGGGTTTCTCTACAAACTAGTGCAGAATACCGGTAGACTCTCGGCGGAAATTCTGCATCGTGTGGCAGAGAAAAGCTATATAAAGCGTGTGGGTAAAAGGGAGTGAATCGAACTAGAGTGATAGGGGGTTTTAGAAGCGTCTAACCTTTGCGACGGTAAAAAGTTTACGAAGCTTTGAATTTATTTTAACTTTTTATTATTTATGCAATAATATTCGTATTTGGTATTAAGCGGAAAAACTTAGATTTAAGAATTGCGAATTTTTATAATTGAATTTCTACAATTAAAAAAATAAAATACGATTTTCGAGTAGTTTTAATTGTTTGATTGATAGAGGCGGTGTAGTAAATAGAAGAGTGGACTTTTTTATATAAGCAGACGTAGCTGAGAGTGTTTACGAAGACCGTAGAGAGTCGACTCGACGTCGTTTTCAGAAATTCGAACTGACGTATTGAACGACTTGGTACCTTTTGCGTCGATTGAAAGCGTACAAAGTATAGCTTGGTCAAGAACTGAAGCTGCTCGATTTTCCCAAGCGACATCGCTTTTCAAGAGCACATCTTCGTTCTAGGCTACGATACGACCGAACAATTGAAGGAGTTGAAGCACGGTGGGTCTTGAGAGATTTGTTTCATAGCGGAATTTCCTCTTTTGCGCAATCTTTAGGGTTCACTTCAATAAAAATATTTCCTTAAAATGAAAAGCTTGAGATTGAGAGTTCTTTTTTGGAACGCTTTATACTTCCTACTATCGAACCGTTATCAAAATGTGGAAAAACCGTTACAACAAATGCATTACTTATAATGAAGATTATGTCTACAACAAAGCTTGAAAACTCGCAGCAGAAAAACCATCCAAATAATGAGAGGAACATTGCTAAGTAAGTAAGTAGGAATGCCTGAGATTTCACATACTTTTTTAGACTTAATTTGAATATTAAATACCTGGTTGTCTCCCATATGGCTTTCTAAATGTTCTTAGAAATTATAGTACCACGCTTCAGCTAGTTTCATGCGGATAAAAGCCTTTCTATCTATAGGAAAATTAGAACTCTGCCAAGGATGCTCACTACTTTGAAGTTGGTTGTGGAATAAAGTTAAAAAAAACGTGTGACCATTAGAAGAAATGAAAAACAGTAAAAACATAACACCAGCGGTGAAAAAGTAAAAGCCAGACTGCAAATAAAAAATTCGGCTTTAACGACTAATCCTGAAGCTGAAGTTATTAAGTAAATCAGGTACTAAACTAAGTGTTGAGCAGTTTTCTATTAGATGTTCAATTGTGGGATTCACCAAGTTGCAATATGGGCAGACGACGGACTGTTGGGTCTTTTCCAAAGTGTATATATAATGCACTGTTTCCTGTTTATAACGGGGTTTTCAAGAGTCTATAAGTAGCTACTGGTAATTTGCAGATACGTCAAGAATAGCCAAGAGTTCAAAGTCTGCAGAAACACTCACTACACATCTACTGCTTTCCATTAAATGACAGTTTGACGGGCACTGTAAACAAACGCATGACCAATCAGCGTGTAGCAACTGCTGAGCGCCAAGCAGAGAGCGCATGCAAACTGTTATATATGGTTATGCGTGAGAGAGTTTATTACTTTAAAGCGCATACGAAGCTTGCGCGCTCTGTTTGAGGGTGATCATGCGCTAGTAAGCAACACTCGACCGAATTATCACAATTTATTTCGATGAGTGTGTTCACATATGAGCAAATCTCACAAACCGCCTGAAGAACACACACGATCAAAGCAAAGCTAATTCTTATTAGTATAATAATATTTAGAATTGCCAAGTAGCTCTGCAAGACTTGCTGTCTAGAGACAATACAACGTAATAACTGTAAAATTACTGTAAATTGACACCCTCAGGTTCAACTTGCTGTCAACAACATGATGCGCGTACGTTGATCAGCATTTGACGAGCCACTTAGTAATATGCAACCGTGTTTAGCGGCTAATTTGTGTTCGTAATACTTCGCAAAAAAAAAAGAAAGCAAAAACAATATAGCAAACTGCAACAACAACCTAGGCGATGTTCGACGAGAACTACGTATGATGTCGCAGCATATGTGTTTATTTAGTATAAATTTAGAACTAACGGGTAATAAGATGCAAAGTAACGGTCTCAGTTAAATCAGTTATAATTCGCGTGCGAACGCGTAAGCAACGATCGTGCTCGTGGTTAATATAGTGATCGTGTGCTGAATTAAGTGGAAGTGTGTCAAAACTAGAAAAAGGACATACTCGAAGGACTCTACCAGTAAATGAGTAAAAAAAAGTGTTTGTGTAGTGTTTTATAACGGGAATTAAGGAAACTTTTTATGTACTTTTTCTAATAAAAAATAGTTGCAATTTCAACTTTTGTAAGCCATTCAGCATGCTGCCTAAAATGAATGTGGACGAAGTGCGCGTTAGCCTGCAGCGCTTCGGCTGGCCCGATTATGTGGTGTTCGTTTTAATGCTAACCAGCTGTGCAGTGATCGGTATTTATTTTGCGCTGCAAATGCGTCGTGAGGCGAAGGCGCGCAAATCGGTGACGACAGAGGATGCCGAGGATGCTTACTTGGTGGGCGGCAGGAATATGAAGATCTTTCCGATCGCCATGTCGCTGATTGCGAGGTTAGTGGTGAATTATGAAATTAATGGATATTAGATCTACAAAACCGCAAACTTAAACCACTTGGTCCTGAGAAACGTCCCCTAAAATGGAGTGTGCCTTAAACAAAAAAAAAAAAAAAACCCAAAAAAAAAAAGACATATTGTCCTACAAAAAACTGACACAAGAAAAAAGCTAATGGTTCTAGAAGAAAAAAACATTAACGCCTAATCACAACTTTTACGTTTGAAAGAGAAATCTCTTGTCGTGATTTATGAGACCTTATGAAATAAATATATTTAACTGAAGTCTCTCTCTGCACGTTCCCAACTAATTCAAGTGCGATCTGCTTACGTGTAGAGAAGTAGTTATCCTTCCCGCTTATGGATAGAATATAAGTATCGATATAATGAGAAAGCTCTGAAAATTTTTTTTCCATGAACAATTTGGTTTCTCATACTCTTAGGCAGTTCATATTTACAACCATTAACAAGAATTTTTTTTATGTAGAAAATAATTATTACTTTGACGATACTGAAATGAAGACTGGCTGGGATTCGAAGCATGAAAAGTTTTAAGTGTTCTTGTTTAGAAGACACTGTTTAGTTACGTGAGATTTGATTAGTTCACTTTCCAAATCGGGTCCTCAATCACACATACATATTCACACTTAAACCATAGATATGTAGCTCTAAAAAAAATCCGTTGTGTTTCTGAAAACTCTTTATGATCAATCTAAGCCTCATAAATTTGAGATGGTTTACTTAGTTTAGATTGTAAATGCGGTCCTCGATCACACAAATTCACACTTCAGCCTTGGACAGCTCAAGACAAATCGGTTGTGATACTGAAACCTTCTTATGATCAATCTAAACTGTCATATTATATACTCGTATATGGTCACATATATACTCGTATATGGTCGAAGCGACTTTAACCCATCAGAAATCCGCTTAGACGTTTGAATTATACTACAATTAGATCAGTTGGTTGGCTAGGGTTAAGCTGTTAGTGATGTTTCTGCCGTAATCCAGCAAAATTTGGAGAGTTAAAATGTAAATTTTTAGACAATATTATATCAAATTTCCATCGAAAGGACTTCGACAAATTACTTGCGGCCAGATTTTTAGCCTCATAGCGCAAGATTCGATTGGACAGTGTCTGGTTAAAGTTTACTGTAGGGAAAACGTTGTCTTGCTGAAAGCTCACTGTATTGCACGCTACTTATTTTAGGCCAGAACGGTCTTGCGATTACGCAACTACTACAGGTTAATGAGTGCTCAATAAGCTTATACAAGCTTCAGCACGAACGGAGATCAACCGCAACTATTTTAACCTTAGCTAACTGCGGTCAGAAAAAAATTGCGAGAATATTACCTTTGAAAGCCAGCGCAATTAACGATGAATTAAATTAAGGCATGAAAATGATCGATCACTTTCAATCAGCTAAATGTTTGACCAGCACTTCACTTCGTGAGCTGATACAAACATCCCCCTTTTACGCATAATTTAATTAAATAAGATTAAAGCTAAGTTGCGGTAGGGGGTTCTCAATCACGTGTAAACTTAACTTGTGAAATTATCATGAGTAATTTTGCATCGTGATTGCGTATTAATACAATTTCTCTAGAATTTGTAACAGTTTGTGGGAAATAAGCCAAGTAGAGTTGCCACCCTAGCTAAGGGCGAGTTTTGATTTTAACTTACTTTAATATTTATTTTAATAGAGTTTTCATTGTGCATGACATGAAATAATGTAATTAGAAAATGGTAACGCTAAAAAGAATAAATGCTGACGAATCCTTTCAACAACTTAATTTGGTTTCTTTTGGAATATATTTTGGAATAACCGAGCCAAATACCGAAAAATATTTAATTGAAAACATAATTGTGGTTATATTTTGGTTATATATGCAAGAAATTTGGTAACAGCATATAATCTGGTTTCGGATATTTGTATTCAATCAAGAAACCCCGGGAATTTATAAATAAAACGAAAAATTTTCAACCGTCATCCCAATTTTTTTTTATCGATTTGAAGCGTTGCACATGTGTCAACCCTTCTCGCTATAGGCACTTTCCGAGATGGCCTTCAGCTATCGCTTCAAATTTGTTTTGATGTCTTCAAATAAGTCGAAGCGTATTAGCCGACGTGGATATTTCAGTGTGAAGAAAGTTAAAAGACACATGGAGCTAAATCATGGAGAGTCGGTACTTGTTCAATGATATTTGTTGAGTGTTTGCCTAAAATTTAACACAAATACGTTAAAAATTTTTGTAAAATTCGACAAATACTACTGTGGTCGACTGACATAAACAGCTGCTGTAAACACACTGGTTGACAGATCGCGCTAATTTTTGGCATCATAACTAAGAACAGTTCTACCAACCCAAAATTCACTTTGTCTTTCATATAAGCGGGATATGAGAGGGGGAAATGAAGAATTCCCGATACTTTCTTGCCAGAATGTATGTATTACTGCAATATGGGTCCTAAACTAAAAAGGTTAACAAAAGCTCTTAACTGTAAATATATTTTAATAAAAGTTGCCATCTGTTTATTAAGATACAATTTTTTTAAAAATCAAAAGGAGCCAAACCAAGTAGCTTTATGAAAACTCTTGACTGAAAATATTTTTTAAGGAACTTTTACCACTATTTGACTATTTTTGAGGCAGTGCAAATGATAAACCACAAGCTTTGAAAATATTGGAGATTTAAGCAAACACACAACTGAAAATATTTCGTTATTTATTTTGCCAACGGTTTAATAATTTTCAAAGTTAATAAGAACAAAACAAAACAAATTTAAGGTTCTTATTTTTGAAAATGGTTGCCACTATTTAAAAATTTAAAGTATATAAACAAACAAAAATATTAAATTAAGAAATAATTAAACATAAGCATCTACTTAAATAAA